AACTTTGATGAGTTCCAAGGAGCACAAAGTGCTGTGTCTAGATGGTATCTATAACCTTTTTGGGATAAATGGGAGGCCATCAATTGAGGGAAGGTGCTGGTTAATGGATGCTGCGTACACAAGGAGGTTACTGAGTCTCATAAACACTTGTTATCTTGCTGCCCAACAAGCTGTGGTGCACTACTCTGGTGTTCTCAAAGTCGAAAACATCTATTGGAAGCTCTTTGGCTAGTGAATTATGGGTACAGCATGTTATTAGGTTGGATAGGGATTGAAAGAAGTTCATTTCCCTCACTTCTCAATCTATTTTGTACATTATTTGGGAGAAAAGGAATAGTAGGTCTTTCAGTGGGTTTTGTTGGGCACTCGGGAGGATTACGAATCTTTGGCTCTAGACCCTCTATTTTTGTTCAAGGGTTGTCCTCTCTTCCATCAACGACCTTGGAGAACTCGTTGATATTCTAGCTAACTTGTTACTCGCTTTTTTACACATGGATGGCACGACATATGCCTTGTCAATGTACTTTTTTCTCTAAAGAGTTATTCTGAAACCTCTAAATGATGGAGACACAAGAAAAGTATCTCAAATAGCAGAAAATGAAATAAGTACTAGATATACAGTACCATTCTTCTGCAGAGATCATCAATCTTCCCAGCTAGAGACTGATATCTCTTTGCCTGCTTCCTCAATAATGATGGAACCTTCAATAGATCACCCTTGCCAACATTTTCCAGATTCAGTAGTTCCTGTTCGAGAGATCTTAGTTTAGAGGAAACACCTGTTGATTCTCCATCTACCTTCCATGGGGATTCCCTTCTAAACAAGAAAGACATGTTTCCATCTCATTAGTTTCACAAGTTTATATTTCATGACAAAAAGATATCGACATTGTTAATTTACCAAGTTTATGTTACACGAGTAGAAGATATCAACATTGTTAATTTACCTCACTACGAAATGCTTCATATGATACAGCGATTCAAAGGATTCATACTGTACATCCTGCAAATTATCAACATCTTATATCAAAATACGTAAGTAAAATATGTTAGTGACTTGGAGTTTCTTGCAAAGGCGGAGGCCATAAGTCAACTGTGACCAATTTGTCCAGGTTACATCATGTAAAGGATTTAAAAGCAGCAAATTGATGTTACCAAGAAACCAATCCTATCCTCTCTACTGGTTAAAAAGAAAAAAAAAACTCTTCATCGATGAGCCATCCAAAGAAGGCCACATGAAAATTGATCTTTGATGAACAAAAAATGTGTTTGAACTCAGATCCCTCCTAGTCCATCAGTGCATCCTCCTAAATGAGAAAACATTCCTACCTGACCAACAGGATGATCAATCACCAACAAAAACCTATTATTTGTACAAGATGAAATATTTAGAAGGACGAAAGAGGAAGAGGACAAGGATAAAGAAATCTATATAATAGACTAGTGGTTTTTGCAATCTACTAAAGGCATCAAATGAGTAGTTGCCACGAACTGACATATTTATTAACATAAATCTGCAAAAAGAATAAAAAGATAGATGCCTGGCAGAGTGTGACTTCTCTACCGGGTGCTGAATGGAGTGGGCTAGACTATTACATTACAACTGAATCGTTGGCTGTAAAGAGTTATTCTATGATTCTACATTGATGTCTCTTGCATTACTACCATATAAACATAGTCAAGTAAAGAAAGTGGAATATGCATCTAAGTCATCATGCCTAAGTGTGGTCCAATCAGTTGTTCAGATGACCTCATGAGCAGCTAAAAACCAGCAACTGAGTTTGGGTGGTTAAAAATTGAAATTTTCAACATATCTTCTATTTACAGGCCAGTAGAAGATAAAAGGAAAAGAAAGCAAAGGGAAAAAAAATTAGAAAGGGAGTAACAAAGAGTCCAGAATTCTAAAATAGCTCTTCTGTCCTTATTTTACTTCAAACAAAGAACACAAACCTCAGAATCTTACAAGAAATTAAGAAACCAAAAAAGAAAAAGAGAGAAAAGAAGAAAGCCCAAACCTGCCAGAGATTAGGTCTCTCAGCCCAAAACTTAGAAGAAGCTGAAGCCAAGAAATCAGAACTAACTCCAAAATTTCCATTTTGGCCTAAGCTAGTTGCCAAATTGAACTGATCTCCTGGGTAATAAACCCTGTTCCCATACCTACCTGATTCCTCCTCGTCATCTTCGAAGTCAGAATCAGGACCTCTCCTGGACATGGACATAAAGCTAATCATTTCTTCCCGCTCTACAACCTCTCTCTCCAGTTCCTGAATCCTTCTCTGAGAGTGATCCCTATCCCTCTCCAATTCCTCAATCTTGGCTCTAAGAGAGACCATCTCCTGATTGCTGGTATCAATTTGCTGAAGGAGGCGCTTCTCCTCAGCTTGCCAGGTATTCCTGTGGCTGGCAAAGATCTCTACAACCCTCGCATTGGCTTTGTAATCCTCTTTCCTCCTGGATTTCATCTGCCTTAGCA